TATGTAATATGGAAAAAGATTTGGTTGAAACCATTTAAAAGTTCTTTACGAAACTGCCCTCTCTGATGTGAACCTTGTAAGTAGCTAACAATAGACAGTAATAAGTGTATAGATTATATTATTGATAAAATTTGCTTCAAAATCTATATGTTAACAAAAATATGTGATTATTGAGTAACTTTGTAAGAAATTTGGTGTTTTTTTTTTAGTTCTCAGAAAACCAAAAAGAGGAACGAACGCAGTTTTTTTCGTTCTTTTATTTTTCTATAAATGCTGGTTCACTGGTGGCAATTTTGCTGACTCCAATGCTTCGTGGACGTGTTAAATGTTTTGGTTCTGAATACTGCTTTCCGCTTGCTTTTGGTAATAAAAAACGACTTTTTTTTTTTACAAAAGTAACCAAATTATTACTGCCTACTGGGTACAAAAATTATGTTGTTTATTTGTTTAATTATCGGAATTATTATAAGAAACAAAATCTACAGTTTTAAAGTAGAAATCAGTAACATTTCTGTAGCCAATATACTAAGAAAAAATTTTTAAGGTGTTCCCGGTTTATTGATGCTCATTGCATTTTTACTGTTTGTTGCTGGCTGGAAACGTTATAAGATTACACCGGCAGCGAAAGGAAATGAAATTTTCAATGTTATGAGCTGTATATTTTATGCAGGAAAGCAAAAAATTGTTGCAGTTTACCGGTATAATACGCTATCTCTTCCGTTTTGAAGTTTTTTTTTTCTTCTCGCAATATAAAATTAATTAAATTATCAAAAGTTATTTTTCTGATTTAAGAGGACAAGATAAAGCAGAACATTGGATTGATTATGCAGCATCTCAATACAGTTCACAGTTAATCACTGGTGTCAAAAGTTTGGTTGGAATTTTGGTTCTTTTCTTACCGATCATTCCTTTTTGGGCATTATCTGATCAGCAGGTTTGCACTTTTGATTATCGGTACTGTTGCGGCTTTTTCTTTTTTTTTTTCCTTTTGAAAAAACGGCAGATCTGTTCTGTTATCTTTAAATGAATTTAGGGTAGCACTTGGGTACTACAAGCACGACGAATGGACGGTAGAGTCGGAGCTTTTACAATACTACCCGACCAAATAAATACCATTAATCCGTTGATTATTCTTATTATGCTTCCAGTTTTTGAAGCATATATATATCCGTTAGCTAGGCGATTCTTCAAAGTTACACCATTACGAAAAATGGCTGTTGGTGGAGTGTTAATTGGCCTTTCCTTCGTCATGGCTGGAATGCTTCAGGTTAAGAGTGTTAAAAAAGCTTCATCAAATTAAAGTTAAACTAGATGCAGAATCTTTATTTCCTTACTATAATACCTGAAAAAGTCGACTGGTAGATCAGAAATCGCTGCATAGCGAATGAGCATTTTAAGGTATTATCAAAGTGTAGTGATAGCTATGAAAAGACTGGTGAAAAAGTTCTATGTTCATTAAAATAAATCTCAAACCATACTTTAAGTAAAGTACTTATTTTGAATATAAGTTTTTCTAACGAGAACTGAACTTTTTGATGTTTATTAGGTTAATTGCTGAGTAAGTATGCGCTTCTGAAACTGTCACATACATTATTGGTAAACGTAGAGTGGGTGAACACAGATGTTTATAGTAGCTTTTATCAGGTTGATAAGATTTGAAGCATTTTAACCATAGCCTAAACAGAATGGAAAGAAAACTAATGTTTATTAACATCTTTCGTAGAGAAGCTTATTAAAAACTATCATGTTTTGATACTGTCATGATTGAATAACCAACAAAGCATACTTTGGATAATTAACACTAGCAGTAGACCAATATGGTGCAAAAAAGTATCTTAGTTGAATTAATATTTCGATATGATATTTCCAAGTGTTTTTTTTTCATTCTTTAAGCGCTATGTTAATTACATCTTACTTAGGCGTCGAACAGACTTTTATTAAGAGTAAACCCTAAAAATTCAAAAATTGTTCAGTCCCAAGTCTTGCTGCGTGGTCTATCGAAACTAAACAATGTCAACAGAACTCTTATAGGTTTTGTACAGTATACTTTCGGCCCCAGTGACAAACTGTTCCGCCACAAATTGTAGCGACGAAACTCTTCTTCCCTTCAACTTATTACTGATTTTTCTTTAGCTTTCTGTGAACAAAACAATGGAACCCCATCCGGCATCAGACCACGTTTTCCTACAACGATTTGGCAATTCCACAGTCAAGTACTACATTAATAATACGTCACTGGAGTACGGAAAAACCGACCTGACTGTTGGAGACTACACGATAACCTCAGAAAATGGTCACAAATTTAGTGTCTCATTAAATGCAGCTGGTAAAGGTTATGTGCTCGGATTATTTGATGCGCCAGATAACAGGTTTTTTTTTGTACGTTCGTTTCCATAAGTCTTCTAAAGTATGCAAACCTCTTTCAAGCTTCAGTACACGAATGTCTCTCTTCCCATATACTTGCGATAAATCGGAAAACGGCCGAACTCGTCTGTATCTTCTGGTTCCAGAAAAATCTGCATTAGATGGCGGAATGTTTTACATTCTCGATTATAAAGGAAATGTTCATAAAAGCATTAAAACTACGTCTGGTAGGTTTTACAAGTGACGTTTTAACCAGAAACTTTCGGGAAAATTTCTAAAACTTTTTCTTTATTTTTATTCTATTTTATTTTTTTGTTTTAAGTTGTACTTGAATAATTGATTACTAATATGAGTGTGGTATAGAGACTATGTTTTAGGAAACTGGGTTGAAATTGAGCCTGCAATCATTAGTTCACCACATTATACACTTCTGTATGGTCCGGCAAACTGTACATTATCGTCGTGTCCATATTCTCAAAAATTTTTTGCTCAGATGGGTGCTGCACACGTTGTACATATCACTGAAGGTTTTGCTGATATATATACTGTAGTTCGATCCAATTCAATTAGTATTCTTTGGCAGTTACCACAATCTGTTGTCATTACTGTTGGTGAGATTCTGTTTTCAATTTCTGGTCTCGAGTTTTCTTACAGTCAGGCGACACCAAATATGAGATCTGTTATGCAGGTAATTATTTTTTACAAAATAATTTTAAAATTTGGTAAATTTCTTTTAATTATTTTGAAATTAAAGACCGATATCACCGAAATTAATTTGGCGATTAATTTAAGCAAATTAACTAATCGTACTATTCTGTTTATTATAAATTTCTTTAAAAAAATTATATTACTAAAACTTATATCGTTTTCAGCAACTAATTATTTTGATTTTAAATACAGCATTGATGCATGACTGCTTGACGAAATTTTTACACATATTTAATGAGTGGTAAACGAGAAAAAAAATGTAGAAAATAAATTGTGCTGCAATATTTAAATTTACATCGATATGATAAAAGTAAAAATGATAATGATGACAACAATGTGAATAATATGAAACTTTTTTTCAAGGCTGTTTGGCTGATGACCGTTTTTCTTGGCAATGTAATTGATATGTTAATTTCTGGATCTCATGTGGTTGCTGAACCTGCGGCCGAGTTCTTTGTTTATGCATTACTGATGGTCCTCGTTATTGGGCTCTTCATTGTGTTTGCAATGCGATACACATACGCTGAAGACCGATTAGATGGAACTGTGAACACCACCACCGACAATAAAGCACCGGTCATTTTAAATACATTCAAGGACGAACCAAAGGTTACACAACAAAACTGACCACTGGTCAGTGCTCTACAGTAAACTGATGATAGGCTGGTTACTTGGTGCTGCAGTTGCCGCTTCTGCACTTTAACTGCTGCCAAAGTTGATGTTGCTGCTGATGAAGGCAAATTTGAAGATCATCAAAGGTGCTACTGAAAAGTGATATAGTTGTGCACATAGCTGACTGTACAAAACCAACAAAAGATATCTCCAACATCTTTTTTTTTTTTCTCAATTTTTTATTCTTATATAGTTTTTTTGTCCTTCTATACGTTTGTCGTCGTATAATTTCTGTGCTACTGACAGACAGCATTCAGACGCAGTTAACAAACAGCAGTTGTATAGGTGAAAACATTTTGTTGCAAAATTTACAGTGTTTTCTCAGTCATTACAATATTTTGAACAGTTTGTATTTTTAATTAGATTAATCAGCGGACAGACGGTGTTATAACAGTCAGTGGCGATAAAGACGGCAAACTGATTACAATAATTTTGTTAGCAGCAAGTAAAATTGTTGCAAAAATTTATCATTATTTTATGTGCTATCGTTTAGCTCAAAAGTGTAATATGAAATTTTGATAATTTATTGATATACAGATATTTTGGATGTACAAAACTGTTAATATTGAGTGACAGTTTTTTTATTAAAAAAAAATCCTTCTTTTTTTCGGAAAACAGAGATAATAAATAACAAATTATATGTTTTACAAATATCTAAAAATAATTATGTGATAGGTAAACAACGTTGAAATGCTACAATGGTGTAATTGAACAGTTAGAAATATGCGAAAAATTGATTAAATTTAAATTAATATCTTTAAGTTTTTTTTTTTTTTGTTGTACAAAATATCTCTCAATTTTGCATTCAATCTTTTTTTGTGTGTGTGTGTGTATATTTCTTTTATTTTTTGATTTGACTAATTGGGAGACATTTAAAAGCTCTTTGATCTCATAATTTTGATTATATTTATTTGTATGTATATATACTTATGCATATAGTGTTGCTTATTTTTACGATAACTATTATGTTCCTGTAAGATACGTGTTAAAAAATTGAAAAACACAAGAAAAAAGCTGATATATTCTTTTTTGGTTTTCCGTTTTTTGTTTTCAACTTATATACATAATAAGAATATAATTTATTGCAGTTGCATATGTTTGACATTAAAATTCACAAATTAAATTCCTGTAATATCTCCTCTCAATTAAAATAATTAATTCGTTTGAACGCAGAAAAAAAAAAACTGTAAACAAATAACAAAAAAAGAAGAAGAAAAGCAAATGGAATTTATTATAATATAGTAAATATAGTTTCTATAAATAAAAAGATAGTTTTTATTTATAGAAAAATTTTGCAAGAAAAAAAATAATTTAAAATTTTGCAAACTTTTTTTTTGCTTTTTTAGACCATTAAGCTGTTTGAGTTTCTGATTTGGTTACAAAGAAGGAGGTGATGAGAAAACGCCAAAAGGATTAACGAAAAGGATATGGTTAAGGAAATAAATGTAAAAGAACTTAAAAATCAACTTCGGTTGTAATGTGTAATAAATCTCTACTGTTTTTATTTTCTTATTAAGAATTTACAAAGTTTTTTCATTGTAATTACTCAAATAATCTAAATGTCGTTTTTTTTTTTTTTTTTTTT